ACTTACAGGGAAAGCAGTTGTGAAGAAGTCTTCCAACACACAGGTGATACACGTAGGAGAAATATCCCCTGGAACACAGGGCAAAACCTTAGAGCTGCTCTGAGTATGGGAAAGCCTTTATTCATCTCTCCCCCCTTTCTGAACATCAGAGAACCCACTCTGGGGAGAAATTGTTATCACTGCAGTAAGTGGGAGAAAGCTTTTATTTAATGCTTTCATCTTGCTGGTCACTTGAAAATCCTTGCTGGAGTGAAACCTATAAACGTAAAGAGTGTGGGACCTGCGGGTGGCTCAGTCAGGTAAGTGTTCAACTCTGGATTTTGGCTCAGGTCAGGATCTCAAGGTTTGTGAATTTGAGGCTCATGTTGGGCTCTGTGCTGAGAGCATAGAGCCTGCTTGGGATTCATTCTCTCTCTCTCTCTCTCAAAAATAAGTAAACTTTAAAAAAAATGTAAAGAACATGAGAAAACTTCCAGTGCCAACACTAGCTTTATTCAGTATTACAGAAACCCAATGAGTGTAATAAATGTGGGAGAGCTTTTCAGGTGAGTTCGTCTCTGGTAAGGCCTCAGACTACTCCTGTGGATAAGAAGCTCTAATAATGGGCAACATATTCAGGCAATTTTATTAAGAATTCAGGCCTCTTTCAACAGATAATATGTTTGGAAAAGGATTCTATGGAAAGAAGCATGAGAAAAGCTTCATGGTCTTTTCCTCCTGACATGGCAGTTTTTTTTCTAATGTCAGACCCTTGTATGGAGATGATCCTTTAACATAGCCATTTCTGGTAATTGTCTTTTTCTCACTGACTTATGAACACTGAGTAATGTACAGAACTGTTGAATCATATTGTGCATCTGAAACTAACACTGCACTGTATGTTAACTACACTTGAATAAAAAAATAGATATGAATTAAAAAAAAAACCCTTTTCTAGTTAAACCCTCATAAATATTCTTTGCAGTACCTACACAGCAATAGTATAAAGGGTTACCCATTGTCTCTGGATGAATAAACTGTTGATTTGGAGAATCCTGCATCTTCACCTCATAACCTTACAACTGTTGACAAGTTATTTAACTTCTTTATACCCAGAATTTTCTTCAATAAAATGTGGATAATAGCTATTAAGGATATTATGAAGATAAAAAGAAGTTAACAACTAGAAAGCATTTTGAATATATGTATTTCTGTGTTGATATGAGAAGTTGTGCTACCGGTGAGTATTGATTCTGCCACATCAAAATAGAACACCAAAACAAAGAGTATGACTATAAAAAGGAGAAATAAGAAAGATACTAAAACCTCACAAATATCACCTGAGAAACACATTACAATTGTTTCCAGGATATGAATCCAAATCTTTTCCCCAAAATATTTATTATAAATACTTATTGTTATACTTTTATAAAAGTTGCAGATTCAAAAGACATAAACTTTACTGTCTTTGCAACCAAATACTCTTTCTTTTAAAAATGTGGAGTATCAAAGGGCACCTAGGTGGCTCAGGTGGTTAAGCATCCAACTTCAGCTCAGTTCATGATCTCACAGTTCATGGGTTCGAGCCCCATGTCAGGCTCTGTGCCAACATCTCAGAGCCTAAAGCCTGCTTCAGATTCGGTATCTCCCTCTCTCTCTGCCCCTCCCCTGCTCACACTCTGTGTGTCTCTCTCTCTCTCTAAAAAATAAATAAACGTTTAAAAAAATGTGGAATATCAGGGCACCTGGGTGGCTCAGTTGGTGAGGCATCTGACTTTGGCTCAGGTCATGACCTCACAATTTTTGAGTCTGACCCCCACATCAAGCTCTTTGCTGTCAGCAAGAAGCCCACTTTGGATCCTCTCTCTCCCTCTTATTGCCTCTTCCCAGCTCACGCTCTCTCTCAAAAATAAACATTAAAAAAATTTTTTTTAAATGTGTAATATCAGTGCTTTCAGATGGGAGAAAGGAGCTTTCAAATTTTAAGATTTTTTTTTAAAGACTTTTTTAATTTCAGAAAGTAAAACAAAACTTGGGCCTAGAAGAAATTATGTTTGAAACAGAGAAACTATGAGTTGAAATGAAAAGAAGAAGGAATCATTTTTGAATCCAATTTTGTTGTATATCATGAATTAAAAATTCTATTTTATCACCATTATTATTAATCTAAAAGATAAAAATCATGACATGGATAGTAAGATTTGGAAAAATAAATTTCATGTCAGGATGAGTCCATTTCAAGATGCTGACATTTCAAAAAGTTCTCGGGGCACTTGGGTGCTCAGTTGGTTAAGCGTCTGATTTCGGCTCAGGTCATGATCTCACAGTCTGTGAGTTTGAGCCCCACATTGGGCTCTGTGCTGGTAGCTCTGTGCTTGCAGCTTGGGGCCTGGAGCCTGCTTTGGATTCTGTGTCTCCCTCTCTGCCCTTCCACCCTCGTACTCTGTCTGTCTCTCTCTCAAAAATAAATAAACATTAAAAAAATTTTTTAATAAAAATACAAAAGTTCTATTTTTTAAATCAGATATAACTGACATATAACATTCTATAAGTGTAAGGTACACAGCACTGACTCAGTAACACTTATATGTTACAATACGATTAGCATTAGCTAACACCTCCATCATGTCACATAATTGTATTTTATGATGAACACATTTAAGATCTAGTCTCTCAGCAACTTTCGTGTGTGATACAGTACTTATCAGTACTACAATCACAATTCTGTGCATTATGGCCCTAAACTGACTCATTTTCTAACTGCAAGATTGTACCCTTTGACCAACATCTTCCTAATTCCCCCACTCTGCAGCGAGTAACAACCATTCCCGTTTTTATGAGTTCAGCTTTTTTTAGATTCCACATATAAGTGATATCATACAACATCTTTCTCTGACTTATCTCAAGTTCCACCTATGTTGTCACAAATGGCAGGATTTCCTTCTTTCTCATGGCTGAATAATATTCCGTTGTATATATACACCACACTTTATTCATCTATTGATGGACACTTGGTTGTTTCCTTATCTCGGCTATTGTGAATGCTGCACTAAACATAAGAGTGTAGATAGCTTTTGTGATAGCCTGTTTTCATTGACTTCAGATATATATACAGGTGTAGGATTGATAGATTATATGGTAGTTCTTTTTTAAAATTTTTAAGTAACCTCCATACTGTTTTCCACAGTGGCTACACTAATTTACATTCCTACCAACAGTGCATGAGGATTCCCTTTCCTCCACATTCTCATCAACACTTGTTATTTCTTGTCTTTTTGATACCAGTCATTCTGACTGGCACAAGGTAATATCCCATTGTGGTTTTGATTTGCATTTCCCTGATGATTTGTATCTCTTGGCCATCTTGTCTTCTTTGGAAAAATGTCTGTTCACCTCCTCTGCCTGTGCTTTATTTATTTTTTTAAGTATAGGCTCTGTGCCTAATGTGGGCCTTGAACTTAAGATCTTGAGATCAAGAATCGCAAGCTCTACCAACTGAGGCGGCCAGGTGCCCCACCTGTGTTTTAATATTTTCTCCCATTCTGTAGGAACAGTTAGGGGATGAGGTGGGCAAGGAAAGAGATAAATAGAGTGACAATCAAAAAGGGAGTTGGACTGAATAATGAGAGTAACAATGAGCGTCAAAAATAGAAGACAATGCAAATACATAGAAAGTCTGGGGACCTCAGAGGAAAATGACAAAGAAAAATAATATTTTTCTTTTTTTCTTTAAAGCTTATTTTGTTGGGGGGAGCATGCACACACAAGTGGGGAGGGCAGAAAGAGGGTGACAGAGAATACCCTCGCTGACTGTTCTGAGACCAATGCAGGAGTCGAACTCATGAACTGAGATCATGACCTGAGCCAAAGTTGGGACACTTAACCAACTGAGCCACCTGGGTGCCTCGAAAAAAAGAAAAAGTTAAAAAAGAAAGAAAGAAAATTTTAATGTTTGCTTATTTTTGATCGAGAGTGAGAGAGTGTGCAAGCGGGGAGGAGCAGAGAGAGGTGGAGACACAGAATCTGAAGTAGGTGCCAGGCTCTGAGCTGTCAGCACAGAGCCCGACATGGGGCTTGAACTCACAAACCGTGTGATCATGACCTGAGGAGAAGTCGGACACTCAACTGACTGAGCCATCCAAGCGTCCCCAAAAAATTTGCTTTTAATTGATGGTCTGGATAGATTCAAATGTACTGAGGTTAGAGGAAATGGGGCCAATAAGGAGATAATACTGAAAAAGAAAAATCTATGATATTTTAGAATCACTCTTAACTAAAGACAGCAAAAATCAAAGGAAAAAACAGTGTTTGATAAGTCTGAAAGATGAGGTACGTAATGTAGCTGCCATTACAGGGGAACAGAAAAGAGGTACAAAATAGCTTTAAAGGATCCGGGAAATTTAGAAAAGGTCATTTTAAGACAAAAGAGTGAGTTCTATTTTACAAAGAAAGTACTAAATGTACAGTACAAGTTAGGCCATGATATTATATGTGATGAAAACATAAATAGGTCTAAGTTAAGATACACTTTATGAGAGCAGTCTGAAAAGGTTGTTAAATGAGGTCAGGAATGCTGGTGTACAACTTCCTCATGAGTCTGCCACCAGAAGTGACAGCATTGTCATCCTTGGACAGTGCTGCCCACGCTGGAATGCTGTCTGCACCTGAGAGGACAGGTATCCAGTCGGATTCTTTGCTGCGTTTCTGTCTGAGGTGTTCCGCATGCTTTTGAATCTGGAAGGCCAGCACAGCTTTCAACTATCCTCTCTCAAGATGCATTCTGAGGGTGGGGCCCTGGAGGGCTCAGTCAGTTGAGCGTACAATTTCAGCTCAGATCATGATCTCATGGTTCATAGGTTCGAGCTCTGGGTCGGGCTCTGTGCTGACAGCTAGCTCAGAGCCTGGAGCCTGTTTCGGAATCTGTGTCTCCCTCTCTCTCCCCTGTTCATGCTGTCTCTCTCAGAAATAAACTTAAAAAACATTAAAAAAAAAAAAAAAAAAAGATGCATTCTGAGGCTTACCTTGCTCATGAATGGCCTGGAAGTCTAGACGTTTCTTGGCGTGGAATAGTTGGTAGCTTCTGTGCTGCCTGGTGAGGAAATTCTGAACACACTCCCATTACACATGTAGTGGCTACAACCTGGAAACGATTAAGGTTGGGTCTGTGAAGGACTCAATGACTGAACCAATACCTTAGAATGACACCTTATGGTGTTAAGCGTCCTAATCTCCCAGTTTGGGAGCTTGAGTCCAGTGTGGAGCTCTGAGCTTCGGAGCCTAGAGCTTGCTTCCGATTCACCCCTCACCCACTTGGGCTCTCTCAAAAAATGAATAAACATAAGAAAGAAAAGAAAGAGAAGAGAAGAGAAGAGGAAAAGAAAAGAAAAAACAGAAAGATTCCAGGTAAGTAACGCATACACGAATACACCGAGCCTGCTCAAGTGGAGCCCGAAGCTCCGCAACCTTGCTCCACGGCTGTACAGATGCTGTTGGAATATTCACTTACCTAATCACAACTGCCGTCCTGTTCCCTCGAGCTCTCTCTGCAAACCCCCCATGGGATCGCAGCCTCCTCCCCGCTCTCGGGCTGATGCTCTAACACGCGAGCCTGCAGCTCCGCGGGCAGGATGGTCAGGATCCGCTCCGTGGTGCCCCATCACCAACCGACGGCAGAGTTCCTGGAGTTGGTTCGGGGCCTCCCAAGGTGCAGGCGTCTCCTGGTAACAGAAATGCCCAACGAGGGGCGCCTGGGTGGCTTAGTCGGTTGAGCGTCGGACTTTCGCTTAGGTCATGATCTCGCGTTCGTGGGTTCGAGCCCCGCATCGGGCTCTGTGCTGACTGCCAGCTCGGAGCCTGGAGCCTGTTTCAGTCTGTGACTCCCTCTCTCTCTGACCCTCCCCTGCTCACGCTGTCTCTCTCTCTCTCCTAGAAATAAATTAAAAAAAAAAAAAAGCCCAACGGTAGGGCAGCAGCGGCTGCGTCCTGCTTGTTGGGAGTTCTCCCCGCACAGCCCACATTCTTGGCTCCAAGCGTGGTGCTGCTGTTTCACTGTCGGGAGATTTAGCAGCCAAGGTGCAGCCAGTACGGGCTGTCACTGAGTAAACGCTTATTGCACAGGCTGGAGGACGTGGCAGTCTCTGCTTGGGGGAGACTGGCTTTGGGGGTGGTTTCGGGGCTACTCCTAAGGCAAAACGAGGCACTAACGTACACAAATGCGAAAGGCTGCTGAAAACTTTTACTGGGGTTAAACCTGACCCATCAGCTGGAAACCCACCGAGTGAAGCACGGAAATACTAGATCCGAAGGAAAACGGACGACGCCGGTGAACTCTGTCGGGTAAACCCTGTAATGCGGAGAGAACGTGAAGCTCGACGACAAACGGTCTGAAAGGAAACTAGCACACCGAGCGCGCTGCAGTTTTCCAGTTCAAGCAAACGCGCAGGAGAGACTTCAGGTCACGCCTTTCTAGAAAACGACCACACTGAGCGCGGCTCCGAGCGTTCTGAGGACACGCGCCAGGGCCGCCCCGGGAGCCACAGCCTCGCACAGCCGGCGCCAGAGGGGAGACGACACCGGCAAGGGGCGTCCTCGCTCCCTCCCGGGCCTGCGGGGTGCGCACCTGCTGGTCCCAAACCCCAGCTCCTCCTGGCGCCGCCGCCTTCATCTCGGAATTCCGTTCGTAACCCTCAGCGGCAGCCGCAGAGACGTGAGACCCGGGCGCTGCGGACAACGCACAGCGCCTCCCGCCGCCACACCACCCGGCCGGAAGCGGGGTAGACACCGAGGGCGGAAGCCGGCCGCTTCCGGCCTCTCTGGGACACGCTCCTCTCGGTGGTGGCCTCGCGCGGCCCGGAGGGGCGGCGCCGCGGACTCGAGGCGCGTGTGGACGTGGTCCTTCCGAAAGACTGAAGGTGCTCGCACCCCTGTCCCCCACTCTGAAGCTTCCGGTGTCCCCTCCCGTCGTGATACTGTTAGTGACGTAATCAAGGTTAAGGGTTGAGTCCGAGTCCCGCAACAGCGCGTGTGTTTGCATCCAGGTTCCTGCACGCAGTGGGCTGTGGGGCAGGACGCTCCCCGGCTCCGTTTCCTCAGGCCCGGAATGGGGAGGGGAACAGCGCTCTACAGTCACGACGGGGGCCGCATTACACAGCACCCGCAGAAAAGACACTATGCGTTCAGTAGTTAACCCCTCCCCCATATAGGAATTGGGTTACTGAGATTCCATCAGGACATTTCTAATTCAAGGTAATTGAGAAACATGCTAAGTTATTTGTTATAAAGCCTATTAATGGAAGATTTTGTACATTAGATTATCATAATTCTACAAAGGGCGTGGTTTGCTAGAATTTTCACAGAAACACCTTCTGTATCCAGTGGGATATATAAGCCTTATATCGTTTTTATCCTCACATTAGGGAAAATGTGCCTCATCAAGTAGGTAAAAGAAGTCGAGCCAGATTTGTCTTCGTGTCATGAAATCACTGGTGGAGTTCCTACTTGTTGGATTCCTCTCTCCACTCAGATGCCAACCCTTTCTACCCGGTCGTTTCTGGAGAGAAGAGCAGCCAGTGCTCATTCCCTCAGCCTTCTTCCATAATTGTCAGTAGCCTGAGACCCTCTTTCTGTCAAGAGAGCTCCCCAGAATTGCAGTCTGGGTCCATTCACCCCAAGGAAGTGCTCAACTCCCTCCCTCCCCCCGTATGGGGCAGGAAGATCCTGGGTATGTTACTGTTTCCTCCAAACTCAAGGTTCAGTTCAGTTTGAGCACCTTTTCCCCCCCAATTTCTCCTCTCCTGTCTTGTTTGGATCTCTGGATTCTGGCCTCTTGCCTTGGAAGCTCTCCGGGCTTACCTCCTGCAAGATCTCTGGCCACAGATTTGGGTCTACATATTAGAATGCTACCATTGTGTAGGTCCTGGTGTTTGGCATGGTCTTCTCCCCCCACCCACCTTTTTAAAGTTTATTTATTTATTTTGAGAGAGAGAAGGCACAAGTGAGGCAGGGGCAAAGAGAGAGGGAGAGAGAGAATCCCAAGCAGGCTCCACAGTGGCAGCACAGAGCAGGACGAAGGGCTTGAATTCACAAACTGAGATGATGACCTGAGCCAAAACGAAGAGTCTCCTAACCACCTGAGCCACCCAGGCGTCCCTGGCATGACTAATTTAGTTTTGTTGTGCCTTCATTTAAAGGAATGTTCTGAAAGCGCTGTCATGTATTGCTCAGGCCATTTCCACTTCAGAGCTTAGCTCACCTCCTCTTGTGGCGGACCATTCACTAGTGTTGATGATCAGCCTCTTTACCTGAATCTTCTCCCTTCCACGCTGTAATTATGGTTACTTCCCAACAGAGGCCCTTTTTCCTTCATCCCCATTGCCATAGACGAACCTATTTATCAGCCTCCAAATTCTGCTCTTCTGGTTTGACTTTAGCAGTCAATCACTGGGGGAAGAGGCAAATCCTGTCTCACAGAAAGCACACACACAGTGAAGACCATATGTAGGACAGAAGTCAGAGAACAAGAGAAAAGAGACACTGGCCTTTCAGTCATTCATCTCAATATTTTTTATTCAGTGTTTTTCATGTTTTGCTATTTCTTTAGCATTTCAATAAAAATTTAAGTTCTTTACATTATTAGGTTTTCCCTCTTGTGAATTCTTTGGTGTTGACGAAGGTGTGAACTCTGACTGAAGGCTCTCCCACACTCACTGCATTCATAGGGTTTTTCTCCAGTGTGGATTCTCAGGTGTCGAATGAGGTGTGAACTCACTCTGAAGGTTTTCCCACACTCACTACATTCATAGGGTTTCTCTCTGGTGTGAATTCTCTGATGCAGGATGAGATGTGAATTCAGGCTGAATGCTCGCCCACATTCTTTGCATTCAAAGGGTCTTTCCCCAGTGTGAATTCTCTGGTGTCTAATAAGATCTGAGTTTCCCCCAAAGCCTTTCCCACACTCATTACATTCATAGGGCCTCTCTCCAGTGTGGATTCTCTGATGCCTAATAAGCTTTGAGCTGTGTCTGAAAGCTTTCCCACATTCATTACACTGGTGGGTTTTCTCCCCACTAAAAATTGCTGCTTGTTTAATATGGTTTGGGTTCTTGAGAGATTTTCCATATTGGTGAATTTTTTCTCCAGCATAAATTCTTTGATGCTTAATAAAATCTGAATTCCATTGGAAACTTTGGTCATAGGTACTGTGTTTACGAGATTTCTGGTGTGTAAATTCACTTGAGTTCAGGTTTAAGCTTCTGTCACATCCATCATGGTTTATTTCACCTGTAAGTGTATTTTTGTGGGTAAGGATTTTACTAAAACTTCCATCCTTAGCAGATGATGATCTCTGAGACCCTTCTGATTCTTTCTCCCATTGTCTCTTTAACCTGCCTGCAGACTTACAGATATCTTCAGGCTCAGCAGATCCTTCTGACACAAATTCTGAAATTCTTCCCGATAGAATTCTCTGTGATTCGATTTTGTCATAAATGTCCAACTTTGGCATGGATCCATTGTTTTCACTCTCATTATCTAAAATAATGCAATGAGAAAGTGGTAAATATCTGTTTGCTGAGTTGGAAGAAATAGTCAAGACTGTTGCATATTGGTACTTCACTTGGCTACTCTGAAAATGTAGCCTTTCAGGGGTGCCTGGCACGCTCAGTCACTTCAGCGGCTGACTCCTGGTTTCGACTCAGGTCATGATCTCATGGTTGGTGAGTGTGAGCCTGCATCTGACTCTGTTGACAATGTGGAGCCTACTTGGGATTCTCTCTCTCCCTTTCTCTCTGCTCCTCCCTCACTTCTGTGCATGTGCTCTCTCTTTCTCTCTCAAAAATAAACTTAAAAATTTTTTTAAAAATTTCAAATGTGGCCTTTCAAATTAAAGGCTTGAAGGACACAAAGGAGAGAAACTGGCGAAAGCAAGTAGAATGCATGTGGAGGGGAAAACCTCCATCCATCTATCCACCCGCCCATTTCTTCATCTTGCATGGCTAATCAAATTCTGTAACCACTTTCTGCTAACTATCCCCTGAATAATCCCCTTCTTTACATTTCTGCTACCACACTCCTTGTCACTACTTTTTACCTAGGAGATTGTCACAGCCTCTGAGCTCTTCTTCCTAATTACTCTGAATATTCTCACCATACTAACTGTCCTTAAAACCCTGTCACCTCCTATACCCTACTCAGAAACTTTCACCCTCTTTTCTTCCACAACTTGCCTGAATTCTCCTATCTGGTTTCCAGAATCCATTTATGATCTTGTCCTCACAATTCCTGCCTGTGGCTCACAAATTTATACTATGTTTATGACCCTATATTATGTATTTTGTCTTTATTGTTGGGTTTCTTTTTTCTAGAATATTCTACGATAGGAAAGGTGGTTAGGCAGTGCTGGTCTTAGCATGGGAGAAATGTATGATTTTGGATAGGATGGATGGAAACTTTTCCAGAACAAACTTGAAAGCAGAATTTCAGTATTTTTTAAAAAATAGACTGTAATGTACTCTTGGGCTTATTTTTGAGTTCATTCACACCTAAAGTGATACTGAGTCCATGAACTTTTTAAACAAATGAGTTTTAGGAGTGCCTGGGTGGCTTGGTCAGTTAAGTGTCTCAGACTCTTGATCTCGCCTCAAGTCATGTTCTCATGGTTTGTGAGTTCAAGCCCCATGTCAGGATCCTGTCTTTCTCTCTCTCTGCCTTTCCCCCTGTTTGCTCTCTATCTTTCTCTCAAAAATAAATAAAAATAAACTTAAAAAAATTTTAAACAGATGAGTTTTAAAATAGTGATGAGTATTCCATGGAGGTGGTCACCAGAAGTATAGCCAACTTCCTATAAAAATGTGAAAACTTTGTAAAACCAAAAGTACAATAAAAAAGACAATAGTGTGGATCTTGTTGTATGCATCTGAATTGTATTCCATTTCTGAGTATATCACTATGTATCTGCTTCTCTATCATTATATGTGCTTCTTTAATAACATGTTTTATTTCTCTTGATGTGTTTCTTCCTCTTATTGTTTCATTACTCATTCTCTGACATTTTCTCACTCATTCATTTTTCTTTCCATTAATTTACTCATACAAATATCCTGTGTTTCGGAAATATTCTGGATAAAAAACAAATGGGAAAATGATAACATGTTTGATTAGGAACCAAATTCTGTGTGTGTGTGTGTGTGTGTGTGTGTGTGTATGTGAGTGTGTGTGTGTGTGTGTGTTTAATTGGCCAATGGCACACAGGAAAAGAGTTCCATACCTCTCATGGGGTAATAAAGGGAAAGATACCTATAGTGACTGAGACTATTCTGAGAAGGCGGATTCACAGCCCCACTCCTTCGGTGACATGAAATGCCTGCAATACTGCTCCTTACCACAGTCCAGCACAAGAGATGCTGAAGAATCACGAAGGGCTTCAGGGTCCATTGGCCAGAACTGGGCACTGAGTGCTTGTCCAGAAGGCACCACCACCTTCCCCCTGAATATTTCTTGTCCATGTGCAAGGACCGGAACCTGAGAAAAATAAAGTACATTTGGGCTTGTAAGAGAATCTCTGTTGGAACTGAACATCCTCCAAACACAAAGAGAACCTCTGCAGGAATACAAAACTGCAGAAGGATGGATTAAGTCCGACTCAACTGTGAAATGTGACAGAGCGCCAGCTGGAGTGGAAAGGAGACATAAATGCTGAAGGAAGAGCCCCTGTAGGTCTCCTTGGGGGTGTTCTATCTCAGGCCTCTTCCTCTCACTGT